TGCTCCTGAGGTGAGTGCTCACCATCCTGCTACCTGCCCGCCTGACCTACCTGCGCGAACTGCTGTGCAAACTGCTGCACCACTCCTTGTTTGCCCGCCCTGTTCGCCATGCTCCTGGTCGCTTGCACTCCCTGGGGTGGGTTTTTTACCCACCGAGGGCTGGTGTTGTCACTCCTGGCTCTGCTCCCTGTGAGTCAGCTGCTCGCATCTGCTGAGCTGCCAGCTCCTGGGCAAGTCCTGTCGAGGACTTGAGGCTCCCTCGGTGGCTTTCCCCACTCTGAACTGAGGCTCCGGGATGCTGAGCTTCCCCCCGCTCCGGTGTTCAAGGCATCCTCTGTAGAGATACTCACCTCGGCAATTTAGACTTTATTTAGCTTGTAGATCTTAAGTTCTTGGATAGAATGGCAGTGTTTTTCATGCCAGGCACTTACTGATGAAGAGTAAGTTCATCTATAACAACAGAAGTAGTGGAAATTGACTCACAAAAATCATGGTCTGTGCCTGTAAGCTGGAATTCCCAAGGTTCTTCAGCTTTTGTTTTTAGATTTATGTTTTATTGATGGTGTGATTATTTAACACCAGTCTCTGTAGTCTCCAGTCATAGGAGAGTCAATGACTCAGACTGTTTGTCTGAGTTATCATCATCCACTTTTTCATGTGGGATAGCACCAAAAGGTCTATAAAAATTAACTCTGAACAGCCAGAGGCACAGCCGTACTACTTGTTTTCAAGAGAATTTTTGAGTAAGTTCATCATGATCTTATGGTCATTCTTCATGATCTGATGGTCAAAAGTTGCTATGCTGGTTGCTTACAGAGGTCAGGAAGTCTGCCTCAAGTAATTTCCAGAGCAGAGAAGACACAATCTACAAAGGGCTAAAGAAATCTACTAAGGCTCTCAAAGCCTGGCAACAGTACAGATAACAGTGGCTTCAGAGGTTACACCTGCCTAACACACAGATTTCCAACTGAGACTTTGGGGTCACATTGCATTTCTCCAATATGCTGTGTATCAGGCAATGAATTTTATTCCAATTCATGTTCATGACATTTTTAATACAGTGTCGTGGTTTAAGCCCAGCTGGTAACTCAGAACCACACAGCTGCTTGCTCACTCTCCCCTCTTCTTCCCCCTGCTCCCAGAGGCATGGGGAGGAGAATCAAAAGAATGTAAATCCCATGGGTTGAGATGAACAGTCCAGTAACTAAAGTACCATACAAAACTACTACCACCACCAATAATAATAATAATAACGGAAATAACAAGGGGAGAGAATATAAAACTAAAAGGGGAAAAGGAAAAGAAAACAATAAACACAAGTGAAGCCCAATATAATTGCTCACCACCTGCTGACCGAAACCCAGCCTGACCTGAGCAGTGATCTGGGCCTTCCAGGTAACTCCCCCCAGTTAATAAACTGGGCATGACATGCTGTGGTATGGAATACCCCTTTGGCTAGTTTGAGTCAAGTGTCCTGTCTCTGCTTCCTCCCAGCTTCCCGTGCCCCTCCTCATTGGCAGAGCATGAGAGACTGAAAGTCCTTGATCAGAGTAAGCTTTACTTAGCAACAACTCAAAACATCAGTGTGTTATCAGCACTGTACTCAGACTAAAGTTGAAAACACAGCACTGCACCAGCTATTAGGAAGGAGAAAAATAACCACTAC